CATAACTAAAAGTAGATTCTGTTAAAATAGAAAAATACTTAAGGTAAAGACCTAAAAAGACAACTCTTAATTATGTCTTTATATTTTTCTTGTACTTTCATCCCCTTAATGGCTTTATTCCATAGAAGATTTCTCGAGCATGACTTGTTTTGCTTTTTATGTTGCACAACTTTCTTGAGTTGTTTGAAATTTTTTCCTATAACCAGGGCTTGTTCTTCTTTTGTTATGATATGCTCTTACCATTGGAGAAATTTGATATAGCTTTTTAATCTTTTAACTTCTCTCTTTGCAATATTTATGATCACTGAAGGTGTGAAAGGTTGTTCCACATCTTTATCTTTGTCTTGAAAATTCTTATCACCCTCTAATTCATATTTTGGTCCCCGCATCATGCACACCTCTTTAAGTCCTTCTAGCACATTTTGAGATCAATATTAGGATGCTCTTTAGGATCAAAATCCTCACTTTGAGGTTTATACTCCTCCTCCTCCTCTTTGAAGAGTTTTAGGTTAGAATTCTCACTAAGAGGCTCATAATCTAGCTCATTCAGATACTCAATGCTAACAAAATAATTTTATGAGTTATCAGTGCTGTCAGAAGACTCTTGCTTCATATTTTTCTAAAAAACTAAAAAAATATGAAATATTTAAAATGATTAAACTTCTAAAATGCATTGAATGATTCAAAAAATAAATTCCTATTTTGTCTCAAATATAAGTAAATAGCATATCATAATAAAGATATCAAATTTAAGAATTTTTTTAAGACAAATCATGTCACAATCTGAATCCCCACATGCCTTCACAAGCCTCGAGAAGATATCTGGATTAAAAAATTTTAAAAAACAAAAAAAATCCACTCTCAGAGGAGGTGCGTGAATGACACGTGGCGCCTTCTCGTGATTTGGTGATGACACATGCCAGTTTATTGCACTCCACATACTAGCAGCTTCATGGTAAGGTCTATCTCATGTAGTAGAGCCTTCATGTGGGTCCCACGTGCCATGTGTCCTAAATAAATAAATAAATATATTTTAAAAAATTCAAATTATATATATTATTTATATTTTTAAGCTAGGTTGGTTTCTATACTCGACCTATGGACCCAATATCATTGCATTTTCTTTTTGTGATTTAGGCTAAGCCCAATTAAACCCAAATTTTTTTAATGGTCTAGGTTCACAGCCCAAAACCAAACCAGCATCTTTTTTTTTTAAGAAACGACACATCAAAACGACATGTCATTTGGAAGAGGATAGAAATGACGTGTTGTTTTTGTCTTCTTGAACCTCCTGCCAGGTTAGTTTGACTTAGTTCCTCTGGCTAGTTAGGTCTGTTGGACTCAAAACTTTTGGAGGCCATATCTCCTCCGTTCGATCTCCGTTTTGCATGTTCTTGGTGTCATTTTCTTCATTTTTTGAGTTCTACATGTTTATGCAATCCATTTATCCAAAAAACTTCATTTTCAAATACTCAATATTTTGGTTTGTTTATGTTGTAACTTTCGGCACTTTAGATTGCATATAGAACATGTATAGCCTTATATGAAACACTTATATAAACCAAGAAACATATAAATATGTTTATTTAACAAGAATAATGATAAAAAATGGATAGAGGAAGATTATGTGAAAAGAGAAGTGAAAACAAAACTGGTAGATTTGCATGTATATGGATAAGAAAATTAGTATATGTTTTTTCAAACACAGGAAACATAGCCCAAGAAAAATAGGCTCTAATACCAATATAAGATTTGGAGGAGGAATACATACTTTTTCTCTTAAAACCACCCATACCAGTTGTGGTTTTTCGGTCTTGGGTGCGTGATAGTAAAACTGTTCCCTCTTCTGAACTTTTAAATCATTAAGGGAAAATTGCACACTTATCTTAAAGTATATTGCATTTTCAAGCCTAAATCTTTTCTATATTTCAATAAAAATCTCATGGGCTCATGTTGGGCCCAATTCACTAAGAGTGAATTACCCAACATTTAGTATGTATAGATTAAATAGATATATTTGTATCATTATGTAATAAAATGCCAAGTGAAAAAAATAAAGCTCCAATTCTTTTTCCCATTGAAAAACTTTCCATATTCTTAAAATAATATTTAATTATTGGATTGGCCCCAACTTAGCCATTAATTATTATTTATTGTCTTTCTACAATTATTTATTCTCTTTCTACAATTTCTATTTTGACATCATCATGTCTAACTCTTTCTCACTTTTCATCTTCACTCTTCCATTTTTCCTCCTCTTTTCGTTTCTATTCTAAAGCCTTAAAAAAGCATTGGTCATCATACACCTCTTTTGTTGCAATCTTTGTTTATATTTTCAAATCCAACCAAAGCATTGGAGCATACATCATTGAGTAGAGGCTTTGTGTTTTAGTCTATATACTACTCGCTATTTGATGTGTTTGTTCCTTTTTAATCCAAGCTTTGTTTTGTAAAATACAAAGTACTTAGTGTTTAATTTTTTTTATTATTTTGTGGCAAACAATGTCAAATAGAAAGCACAAGGATTGATAAATTATTATATATTAAGTCTCTTTACTTGTTTTGTCTTGAGCCTCAAAGTTCCTTGACATAGCCCTTTGTCTATAAAATGGGTTTAAAAGACAGTCCAATTAGTATAATTACTTATTTCTTTGCGCATGCAATTGAAAGTCACAATTCAATCTTTATGTAGATCACTAATATCTTTAATCATATTAGTCATTTTGGTTACGTGGAGAAAAATCTTTTTGTATAAGCCTAGAAGCTTTAATGAAATTATTATATATTTTGATTTCTTACATGGCATTGGACTCAATAATACTTTAAATCATTCAAGATTTTTATAATTTAGAGTGATCAATATAGAGGCAATAAGTTTATTGGAGAATTCATTGATCCAACATAAATCTCATTGTTATCACATAAGCAGCTTTTATAAGTGGTTTCACCTATTTAGTTAACCAGTTGATGGCTCAACATCAAGCTTAAGCTAACTAGGTTGGGGAGGCATTCATCTATTATTTATAACATTGTTATTACCTTGACGAAAGCAATGTCTACATACATCGTGGTTGTTGATGGTAAGATAATTGTTGTTGAATTCTTTATGATTTAAATGACTCCTATCACATCATAGATCATCTACAAGTCCAAAACATCATTATTAACATGAATATAAAATTAAAAAATGAATAATGTATTTACAAAAAGTAATAAACATTCTTGCTTATTTTAATTTTTACTTATCTGATTCTATTTATTGGGCAAAGAGAAAAAAATTAGTTCTATTTATAAGACATTTATCAATTTTCAACGCTCATTTTTACATTCTTTTCCTTTATTAAATGCTTTAAATAAAAATATTGTAATGAGATTTAAGAATATTTATTAGAAGTAAAGGTGAAAACTTATTAAATTTTAAGATAAAATTAATGAGATTTAAAGTTTTTCTTAATTTTTGTGAAACATGTTAGAAATGACTTATAAATAAAATCAGATAAAGTATATATTAATAAAGGTTAAGGTGCAATTTTGCTCTTAAACTATTCTCGGAGGAGCAATATTATTCCTAAACTATTCATTGTAGCAATGTTACCCCTAAAACAATCAAATCGGAGCAATGTTTCCCATGCCATTTAAACGTCTGTTATTGTAGATAGTGGGACCCACTTTTCATGAGTTAAGGTATTATTTTGCCCCTAAAATATTCTTAGAAGAGCAATGTTGCTGTCACCATTTAAAAATTATAAAATTAAATAAAAATAAAATTATAATAATATTAAATAAAATAATATTAATTTTATATATAAATATAAAATTATAATAATATCAAATAAAAATAATATTAAATGTATATATAAAAATAAATATAAGAAAAAATATAAATTATAATTTTATAACTTGTCAAACATAAGTGAATCTTGGTTAAATTATATGAGTAGACTCAAAAGTATTTGCATATGTCCTTATAACTATTGACGGGAGCTGTCATTAACTACTCGATTTGGACAAAAAAAAATCGTTTTCATGATTAAGATGAATTGGATAAAAGTTAAGCCGGTATTAAGTCAAAAATTGAAGTTGAATTGTGAATCACAGTGGTTTTCAAAAAATTAAACGATTTTAAATATAATATTAAAAAAGCTTAAAAAAATTTTTTTTTTATAAAAATGCCAATAGCTATAGGTATAAATGTAAGTACTTTTGACTCTACTTATGTTTAATTTAACCAAGATCCACTTATATTTTACAAGTTATAAAATTATAGTTTATATTTTTTCTTATATATATTTTATATATACATTTAATATTATTTTTATTTAATGTTATTATAATTTTATTTTTATATATACATTTAATATTATTTTATTTAATATTATTATAATTTTATTTTTATTTAATTTTATAATTTTTAAAGATGAAGGCAACATTGTTCCGATTTGATTAGTTTAAAGGCAACATTGCTACGATGAATAATTTAGGAGCAACATTGCTCCTTCAAAAATAATTTAAGGGCAAAATTGCACTTTAACTCTATTAATAATGCACAAAATTTACTCTAGAAAATGTTAAAAACGTATAGATAAATATACTATTCATATAAGTAATAAACAATCTTGTATTAGACCAATTGGTTTATAAATATGATCTTAATATTTGAGTTAGACCATAAGTAAATATTGGCCTATCTTTCCAAATTTCACACACATGATATAAGCTATAAATGTCAAAGATTTATTTTATTTTAACAATCTAGCTAATCTAATAAGATATGCAGTTACTTCACCCTAAGCCTCCAAAAGTAGCTTTTAGCATCTTCTCAAAAGGCAAAAGTATTGATTAAAGTGCTTGATGTTATCACCTGGTAATAAACTTTTCCCAAGCAGTGCCTGGTCCAAAATGTGGAGTTAAGGTTTGAATTACTAAAGCTTGCAAATGCTTGAGCTAGAACCACATTAGACTACATAAGTTATATATTACTCAAACCTTAACGACATTGCTCAAGAAGAATCCAGTACAAGGTTGATTAATCTGAAATTAAAAACCAAAGTCAGGATGTTGAATGAGAATCCAATTAACAAAAGAGATACTCTCGACCTTTCTCTCATCAGGACAATAGTTGAACACATCCTTGACCACTGGAAACAAAACACACAAGAACCACATCAGACTGCCACTTTTATCACTTGTCCCACGATCACTTCTCAAGAAAAATCATCTGCTTACTATCCTGATTAATCTAAAATGAAAGTTAAATCTAACAAAAGAGACACTCTTGAGACTCCTACAAGGACAGCACTCTCCTAATAATACTCTTAATTTTTGCCTCCTAGAACACCCTTGAGCTTCTTCACCTGCTCAGGATCGAGGAAAGTGGTGCCCGATATAATTGGAGTGGGCAAGTCACTCTTGAACAATGCGAAATCAAGAATTTGGAGGCCAGGATTCGCACTACTGAATGACGCAATAGCCTGAGCCAAAGAGCCACCTGCATTGATCTGGAAGTGAAGCAAGCCTTGTGGAAACACCATAGCATCCCCCTTCTTGAGATTTCTGATAAAGACTGTGTTATCAGACGCAATGAAGCCGGCACAGATTGACCCTTGCACAACAACAAGTGCTTCCGAAGCTCCAGGATGTGTGTGCATTGGTATAACTCCATCCTTGTCCAAGTCTAAACGACCCAAGGAAATTCCAAGACCATTGAGGCCGGGAAATTGAGCATCGAACGCCGGTGTCACCGCGGCTTTTATAATGTTTGAGGTGTTACCTTTAACACCTAGGCCATGGAATACAAAATCATCCACAGTGGCCTTTGAAGGGCTCTTGCAAGAATATCCTGAAGGGTTGTTAGGAGCAGCATAATCTGCAACACAGAAATCTAGCACAGAAGCTTGAGAGTAGGAGGAGAGAACGCAAAAGATGAAGATAATGGGGAGAATCATCTTTATTTTAGCTGGATGTTGCTTAATTTCCTTTTGTTCCCTTAGGGTGTGTATGTGGTAAAGGGTGTGGATGATCTTATATAAGAAGGGACTGCGAGTTAATTTCTTTACCATTGCTTTTGAGTTACTGAAGAAGGTAAGATTTTTCATCTGCATGCATGATAAAGACAGATTTTGAATTGGGATGCCCGTGAATGTCAACTTTTTGGAAGTTTTCTCTGACAACAAGAAGAAGCCTATTTTTCCTTTAAAATCATTGGGATAGGAATCTTCTCTGGCATGTTCTACTGCCAAAAGTTGGACCTCGATTGTCTGCAATCAATCAATAATTGCACCGACCGTTTTAAATTGATTTCAGCCGTTGATTTAATCTTCTATTCGCAGCATGGCATCATATGTCCAGGTTTATACATGTTTATCTTATATCCTTCTTATCATCAATTTCCTCTGTATTCGACATGTTCATATCAAAACCATTCCTCCATGCATATTCGTTCCCATCAGGACCTTTGCCTCGGATGAAAGTTCACATTGGGGTGCTATTTCTTTCAGGCGGGGGGGAAGACGACGACATGAGGCAGGCTGTGAATGAAGAGTATTATTTATTTATTTTGATATGCCGTGAAGAAAGAGATTGAATCAACAATTGAAGTCGAATGACTGTAGACAATCAGGTCCTAAATTTTTCTTCAAGTGTCTTGCCACACATTATTGTGAAAACTTGATCATTGGAAACTAACATCTTGGAAGTTAACTTTTCACTTTTGCATGAATTGACAAGCACTGAAGTATCTATATTTATGCAGAACTAGGTAAAGAGACCATGTATACTGGTAAGATGGTGTGAGTTGTGTCTTCCCTGATCAATTCTGTCACCAGTTTCATCTAATGGCTTTTCATAGTCGTAGAAGGTTATGTCATTTTCCTACAGATAAAAGGTTATCCTAAGAAAATGCAGAATGAGATTAATTTTATTAGATATGTGTCTTTTAAATTGTATTTCGTCTTTAAGTTTAGAATGAGGGAAATGTCTAACCAACAAGGATGTCTAGATGTGCCTTTTGAACCATAAATTTGAAACGCAAGCATTTCATTTTGAAACTTCTAATAATGGGTTCATAACTTTTTATTGAGGCTGGTTCATGGTGGGATGAAAATTAATTAAATCTTTCTGTTGCGAATTAACTCATTCTGGAACACAAAATCCATTCATAAACCCATAATTCATAGTATCATAACAATGAGCATTCATTAATTAAAAATGTCCGAGTTCAAGATACAGTAGATAATGTCCCATTTCAGACGCATTAAGACAATGACCACACATTTATTCCTCTGGCAGCATAATTTTCTGAACCTGGAAATCACTGACTTTTACAAATACTCGACAATTGGTAACAATAAACAAGAAACACGTCAGACTACTCTTCTATTACTTGAGCTACCAACACTTCTCAACAAGAATACCTTTATTACAAACCCGACCAATCTAAAAATGAAAACCAAGGTGTGAAATCAATCTAACAGCAGACACACTCTCTTATGAGGACAACAATCTCCCGTTATTTACTGTTAATTTTTGCCTCCAAGAACACCCTTGAGCTTCTTCACCTGAGCAACATCAAGAAAAGTGGTTAATGCTATCAGTGGAGTGGGCAAATCACTCTTGAACAGCGCGAAATCAAGAATTTGGAGGCCAGGATTTGCACTACTGAAGCTCACAAAAGCCACGGCCATAGTCTCACCAGCATTGATCTGGAAGTGAAGTAATCCTTGTGGAAACACCATAGTGTCTCCCTTCTGGAGGGTTTTAAGGTATACAGTGTTATCAGATGAAACAAAACCGGTAGTGATTGACCCTGTCAGAACAACAAGTGCTTCTGAGGCTCCAGGATGTGTGTGAATTGGTATAACTCCACCCTTGTCCAAGTCCAAACGAGCCAAGGAAAGTCCAAGGCCATTGAGACCGGGAAATTGAGCATCGAATGCTGGTGTCACTGCAGCTTTTATAATGTTTGAGGTGTTACCTGCAACGCCTAGGCCATGGAATACAAAATCATCCACTGTGACCTTTGAAGGCTTCTTGCAAGAATATCCTGCAGGGCTGTTGGGAGCTGCGTAATCTGCAACACAGAAATCTAGAACAGAAGCTTGGGAGGAGGAGAGGAGGCAAAAGATGAAGATAATGGGGAGAATCATTTTCACCTAGCAGTACTTCTGCTGAAGTTTTTTCTTAGGTTGTATCTGGTAAGAAGTTTGAAAGGCGAAATATATTAGAAGGAAGGGCCGATGAACTTTTAACTATCATTACTATGATATATAGATAAGATATTTCTTATGTCTGCATGGAAACGACAGAATTTGTGCTGCAATTCACGTGAATGTCAAGTTTGGAAGTTTTCTACATGATACCAACAAGAAGCCTCTTTTTATTCTGAATCACAAGGACAGGAATCTTCCCCCGTATGTTCTACTGCCAAAGATATCTTTCTTTTAGTGTCTACCACTCTTTGATTGGCAATGCAAAACATGGCAGTGCAGATTTATAGTATTATAAAAGAAACTTAGAAATCAAAACATAGATGCTTACAATTATGATCTTTCAATTTTGTACCTGATGTAACTCTCATTAGCTAATTAATAAGAATGCATTTCAAGATTCAACCCACCATATTCTTATAAATAGCACTGGGAATTATTTAAGCTAGCCATATATACATATATATATTGAAAACTAAATAGAAATAGAAGAATTTTTCTATTTGTAGCACTACAACTTATTTTATCATACTCTTCCCCACTCTTTGATGCGTTCTCACTTTTTTTGTGAGTTTCCTCAGATAATGTTTATTCTACTACATGCCCTTGGAATTCAACACATGAAGTTCCTTAAATATAATGTCTATCCTATCCTTGATTATAGAAATATAACATGTAAACCCTTCTACAGTGACATTCCTGAATAGGGATGGAGGATCAGTATTCACATGTATTCAGTAAATAAATTCCATAAGAAATGTCAAAGACCGCCCCGGGGGGAAGGGGGGGGAGAAAAACATGGATGGTGGTCCACAAAAGCACATGAAGAGAGAATATGAAGGCATAAGAAGACGTTTTGAGACAGCTAGAAGGGCCATCTCTGCAAGTCAGACACACTACACAGAATCCAAGGACATATATTTGTGGTGATCTCAAATTCCCTATATGTGAAGGAACTTAGGTTTTCACTGAAGATTAAAAAAAAAAAAAAAGAGCCAGCTTTTTCTGTGCCTTCAACAAGAAAATCTTTCCCAGATTATCTCTCTAAAATTGATGCGTGCAAAATTCTACTGAGTGGTCACACACATTGACCCCCCCACAAGGATAAGATTCAGCACAGAAACCAACCATTCCCATAACAGCGTGAAGAAAGGGTCTGAATGAAGTCGTTATCATTGTCATATCCTGAATGTCGTTGCCCTCTGGCAGTGACAAAGAGACACGGGTTGGCGGATGCGAAACGTGTCAGATTGTAAGATATTATTGAACCCAAAATAGACGTTTGAAGAAAAAGGTGCAGATTGTGATTGAGATGCATTGAGCGGCCTGCTTGCAAGAGATGGCCAGGTCTCTGGAGTGTTTCTTTTCTTCGATTCATTTCCCACCTTAAATTGTAAGGATTGGATAGCTACTTTGAGAACACGACATTTTACTACGTTGGCAATAACAAGGTGGAATTTGGTCCGAGATGTACCCATGAACATTATATTGTTTTTAATAGCTTTGGATTAAAAAAAAATTATTCCTGTAAATAAACTAGGACAGAATCGAAAAATAAAAGATGTCTTAAATTATTATTAATGTTTTCGTTAGACTCATCCTGCATCATCATCATCATCATCATCATCATCATCATCATCATCATCATCATCATCATCATCATCATCATCATCATCATCATCATCATCATCATCATCATCATCATCATCATCATCATCATCATCATCATCATCATCATATCTTTTGTAATATTATAAAGAGAAAATAACATTCAGCCCCCTCACAAAGAAATTAATAACAAGAATCAATAACAAGTTTCATTTGAGAAAAAGCAAGTCATGTTCTCATTTTAACAATAATTCGTTTCACATTGGTCCTTATTTGTAATTAATTTCTTTGGAAGAGGACTGAATGTGATTTTTCCTATTGCAAATGAGAATCGTTGTCATATAGAAGAAAGAGAAAAACTTATATATTTAACCTTATATACTTATGGTGCTTATTTTCAATTAAATCAAAACATATGTATCTTTTATAAATTTTTTATTCTATAACAAATTCTTATTATTAATATTACTACCACAATAAGATTCATATGTCTTGATTTAACTGGATAAAAATATATTAAGTATATAATGCTAAGTATGTAAGTCTTGCCCTATAAGAAATATCATTATGAAGATTATATAAAATTATATATATATATATATATAGTTATAAATATTTTAGACATTACACTTTAGATATTGTACAATAGTTAATACAATAAATATATATCATAATATAAAAATAAATCACTTTAAAAATGATCACTTTCCATTTCATTAGGTTCATCATACATATTGAAATCCGTTGCTATAAAATAAATCTCTTGTTTATGCTATAAAAGATACTATGATGTTATTAAATAATCAATTCATTTGTCACATATTTTATGTATTTCTTATGAAATTTTATTTGCTCGTGAAAACGTATATTATTTTTCTTACATTTAGATGCTTGAATGGTATTTATAAAAAAAATTATGTTATAAATATTTAATTACTAAAAAAATATCACTGTATATATATGTGTGTAATATATAATACATAAAAATATAGTGAGCAAATTAATATGATACTTGCTTTTAAATATTAGGACAATTTAGTCATTCAACACAAAAAAAAAATCTCAATTAGATCCTTCAAGCTGGAATGTGTTTTCATAGTTTTTCTAGCATTTAAACTCTCTTAAAATACGTATGATGAACCTTAAAATATGACTTATTGGCGAAATTTGACTTTTTTTTCTAGCATTTAAACTCTCTTAAAATATGCAGAAAAATGGGGGAAAATATATCTAGAAAATCCAATGAATTGTTTATTGAAAAAAAAGTACTAAAAGAAAGTCAAAAATAGCTCACGATTGACAGTATTTTTTTTTTGTCCAGAAGAGAAGTATTATTATTATTTTTTGTTACTCACGTATATTCTCCTAGGCAATTATGTTTGAATTATTATCAAGTACTAAATATAAGCACATCTTCTAGTGGGATTCGAACCTTGGAGTATTATTTTATTGGAAAAATTAATGATTTGGTCATTGTAGTTTTCATCCACTTGTAACTTTATTCTTAAATTTTGACTCCATTATAATTCAGTCTTTATATTTTTAACATTTAAAATATTAGTCCCTATATTTTAAAAAATAAAATTAGAAATAATCTTTATCAAGTTAGAATTTTTAATAATTTAAAATATTAGTCCCTAAATGTTAACATAATTTTATTTTAAATTTTATTTTCAAGATATTAGGATCAATATTCTAAATGATTAAAATTATAGGAACTAAGTTGCAACGAGTTAAAGTTAAAAGATTAAGTTACAATCGATTCAAAACTATAAAGATCAAGTTATAACAAGTCAAAATTTAAATGTTGAGTTATGTAACATACCAAATTTTAATCCTTGAATTACTAAGGAATTAATCAAGTTTAATTATGATAATTGAGTAATTTGATATGATGTGTGGCCAGAGAGGTTTAATAAATGAAATCAATTGTGATTTTAGCCCTAATTACGGGTTTGAAGTGAAAATGGGCTACCCTAGGCATTAAAAGAAAGACAAAAACGTGAAGAATTATCTCTATATCACATGCCACAGCGTGCAGCACATCCACCGTGATGCACAGACAACAACTGAAGGAATGGCTTCTCTGTGCCATGTGCCACGGTGCGTGCTACGTGTGTAGTGGTGCACGACCCTTTTTCTGTAGATGTTAAGTCACAATTCTAATGCAAAAAATAGAGAAAAGAAAGAGGGAGGGGAGAAATAAATAGGGCTCTACTAGGGCATGATACTAGACGAATTTGAGTGAGTTTGAAGTTTCAAGTCACCTAAACTAAGATTCTTAAACCCTTTCCTTCCTTTCTCTTCCATTTTTTCAAAGATTTAAGTTAGGGTTTAATAATGGGGGTGATTTTCAGTCCATATAAGTTATAGGTTTGAACCCATTACTTAAGTAGAGTTAATGAGAGTGGGTTAGGTTGTTTAAACCCTACATTAATAATTTTATAAGCTTTTGGTTGGTGAGATGAATTAATGTCTAAAAATGGACATTTAATTTGAATTTATGAAAGTGGTCGAGGCATTTATGGCAATGTGGATACTTAATAAAGCTATATAATGTTAAAGATAGTTAATAAATTTAATGGATAAACCCAAAAGAGAGAAGTAAGGATGTTGGGTTTTATAGAAGTGAAAGTGTGAGAGTTGAAATTGTGTGCTTGACAATGTTAATGAGTTTAGAAATTTATTTAATTACATTATAGATTAAGCATTTGGGCACCATATTTGCTTATAAATCAAGCTTGAAGCTAATTATTGAGGGATAAACATTTAACCTCTTAAAGGTTTGAGGTAACTGGGAGAATCCTACTTTGGATAGTTGTTGTTAATTGAATATTAATTGTGAAAATGTACATATTGATATGTATGATTTGATTATGAATGTGAAGCATGTCATGATCATTAATGATTGGTTGAATTATAAATATGCAATGTTTTATTTGAGCTTGAAATGTGCAATTGATGTCAAAATGATTTTCAAAACTAAATATATATATATATATATATATGTATATCTCTTAAGATGAGAAATGTGATATATGGGATGTGATGAGTGATCTGTTGATAAAGAAAATTGATGATTTAGTAAAGTGAAGAATGGTTGTGAAAATATTACGGATGCTCACTTGGGTAGCGTATTATTGTAAGCCCAATGTGCTAATAATGAATGAATAAACTTGTAAAATGAGCGAGTATCATAAAATGCATGATCAGTTGGTGGGAGTTCGTCCAAGGAGAAAAGTAGCTAAAATTTATATGATATTTTTGGCTGCCTTCTAGTGCATAAGGATATAGTCTTATCTTATAGTTTGTCAAGGGACTGTCTCATAATTTGTCAAGGGACTAGAACCTAGCTATCTCCACTAGTTTATTGAAGAGGTTACCTTAGGGTATACGACACTTCAAAGATTCACGAGTGGGGGAAGCCATAGTCCAAAAGGGAGTCCTATGATTTTTGGCTAAGTCACACCTCACAATTGATGAGCTTGGGTGGTCCAGTCATATGAACGAACCCCTATCTAATGTTATAGCCCACTATTTCAATCAGAGGAAATAAGAAGGGTTTGATCATGCATATGTGTTTATATGGCGTGTCACATGGTTATTTAAGTTTATGGAGTCATGATAATAAATTGGATCATTATCATATGTCTACGTGTCTTATGGCAATATACTATGTGATTGAGATGAGATGAGTTAATTAAGAAATAATAATTTGTGTTGCATGTGTTAGTGTATATTTTGAGAAAAATCATCTTCAATTTTATGTGTTTATTCAATTGATATACAAATGCATAGGGTGGGCTTACCCTTTTTCTTTAACATTTTACAAGCTCTAGCTTTAGTACTAAAAAGGAAAAAACTCATGAGGTGTGGGAATTTGAGTGTTCCTATTATATGCCTCTTGAATTATTTTATTTTGTGTAATAGTTTAAATATTGCCAGATAAGATGCATTTTTGTTTGCACTTGCACTATATAGTTTTTCGTGACATTTGGATGTATTTTGGGCTTTAGGATGCTGCTTATGATAAATTGTAAATGTGAATAGGACTAAAATACTAGTACAAATATATGAATGTTTATTTGATTACAACAGTGCATATTTTGTTGAAATGCAATGTTAAAAGCTCCCTCTTATGTTTTTGGTATTAAAGGGGTTAAGGAGTGAAATTTTAATATAGTGGTGTTTTCATGCATATGGTGTGTTGTACAAGTAGTTCTATGTTCAATGAATATGGTCTAAGTGTTAAAAATAGTTTTTGACACTTGTATGAGGTTTTGGACACCCTTTTGTTGTGAAAGTTGAGAAAAGTTGTAAAAATGTGCTTAAGTATCCAACTTCTTAGTATGACCTTCTTTGGAAGGGAAACCCATACCAATAGCTAGGTTATATTTTCATAGATACCTAGATTATCTCATTCAGACACCAGACGAAGAAATGGGGCATGCCAAAAGTTGCCTAGATTTTGCTGCCAAATGACAGCAGAATCACTGTCATAAGCTTACAACACGCAGTAGCATGTCTAATAGAAAGTGATAAGCCACTGCGCATGGTGCAGGAGCCACTGCACATTGCTCTGTTTTCAGTAATTTGAAATTTTTTTTAACTATTTTCAACTCCTTTCAGTCTTTTGAGGTATTTCATATTTTTGTAACATGATTTTACTCTTATTAAAGGTTTAATGAATGGGTTTGACTCATTTTAAATTATAAAAAACTTGAGATTCTATTTTCTTAAATTATAAACTTGGTAATCTCTTTATGAGTTAATCTCTTGATTACCTCATTGATAGTTAATTGTGTTTAAAAAAGTAGATTTTTCAAGTTACACAGAAGTCAAAATTACAAAAACCAAGTGTTTAATTTTTCCTATTTTATTTATAGCTTATAATCTTATATATTGATGTTGATTATTAATTGATTCGCCATAATTAATTGAGTCAGCCTAAATTGATGAAGGCCAGAACTCCAATGTTTTTAATTGACTTTGACCAAACGATCAATAACCGTCGTCCGTGCTTTGTTTCTATTGATTTATTTCTTTCTAAGTTTCCTTCCATTGATCTTCAAAGATAATTTTGTTTTAGAGCTTGAGATTCTCAAGGATATGATACCAAATGAACTTTGAAATTATTTAATTAATATGTCACGATAGTTAAATCACTATCATTGATGAGTCCTTTAAACCAAAAAAAAGAAAAAAAAGAGTCAAACTACTGGTAAGGATTGAATTGATATGAAGATCTGATTTTATTAACAAAGAAAATAAATGAGCATAAGAGAAATTTAAAGTCTAGTCATAAAACTACCTATGTAAAACTTAGGTATAACTAGCTTTAGTTCTCATCATATAGATGAGTATTGAAAGTTCATTGCCTCTAGATTATTTCAATTTATAGTTTTTTAAGAGGTATTTTTTAAATAATTTTTTAAAAAATTGTCAGAAATTGTCATTATTTTATATTCTGTATCTATTAAAATAATTTTTTTAAAAAAAATAAAAGTAAAAAGCTATAAATCTGAATCATCTAAATTAAATATGAAAGTGATGAGCTCTTAATGCTCATTTGTATGATAAGCACTGGTTTTGAATATATGAGGTATAAGTGGGAAATTAGTTTCAGTGCTCATCACTGAAAGCGCATTGTCTATCAACTATTCAAATCTAATTGTTATGGTTTACATTTACAATTTTTCAACAAGTGTTTTTAAATAAAAAAATTATTTTATAAAAAACTAACAATTAAACAATTGTCTTTATTTTAGATTTTGTATCCATAAAAATATTTTTTTAAAAAAAATAAAAATAAAGAGTTGTAAATTTAGACCATCTAGATTAGATTTCAACGGTTCAAAAGTGATGAACTCTCAATGCTTATATATTTGATGAGCACTAAGAAGAGGGAACCAGTTTTAGTACTCATTATATGGATAAGCATTGAGAGCTCATCGCTTCTAGACCATTCAAATTTAGTTTCCATAGTCTAATTTTACAGTTTTTCAACAAGTATTTTTAAATAAAAAATTATTTTTTTTGAAAAATTGATAGTTAACAAAATGTCTTTATTTTAGATTCTGTATCCATTAAAATAACATTTAAAAAAAAATAAAAGCAAAAAGCTATAAATTTAAAACATCCAAATTAGATCTAAACGATTTAGAAGGAACAAGCTCTCAGTGCTCATCTATATGATGAGCACCCAAACTGGTTACCTGAGAAAAGGTCATCAAGGTTGAAGTCAAAATTTATATATTCATATATATATATATATAAACAATCTGTATAAATAAATATTATATTTACCACCTGAATATTCTCATTCGACATTTCTTTTATCAATCAATTTTATTGGTGGAACATTAATTTTGTATACATTTTTATTTATTTTCTTTGGGGGGCGTGGAGGCCCTCCTTAATTTAAAAGGTGCCATCTATTAATTCAATGTATATATAATTGACCTTTTTTGGCCTGAAAATGTAAAATTAACAATGAATCTGTATCATTCATTAGGTCATATCTCACATTAATGGCCCAACAATCCTCCGTATTATATATATATATATATAAGCGAACCAAACGCTTTCAGAATCACTCTTCACTAACAGACATTCAAACAAAGTGACATTAAGCAAAAAATATGATTTCTCTCATTTTCTTCATTGTCTTCCTCTTCTCATCGTCACCCTCTTTCCAAGCTTCTGCTTTAGATTTCTGTGTTGCAGATAAAGCAGGTCCGATCGATCCCAATGGATTTTCTTGCAAAGATCCCAAGAAAGTCATAGCTAGGAAGCACGGATACGCCAATTTTGGTGGCGTATCCGTGTCGGATACGCACCGGACACGGATACTCGCTCCGTGCGAGTACGTCCGTGTCCGATACGTTTTTTATTTGGGCGACACGGTGCGACACGGCGAGACACAGCGTCGACACGGCTGACACGGCTTTGACGCTGGATGCTGCGTTTTGCATAAAAAAAATTGCCTAAATAAGCAGATCGAACCTCACTCACTTTTGATTCTGACCTTCTCTCCCAACTCGCGAAATCAGTTGGCCGTCGTTCTCTTACACTGAGTTCGCGAAATCAGATCAAACCTTCCCAGATCGCGCCGTTGTTGTCCTCCGACCTGCCGTGCGCCTGGTTCTTTCGTGCTGCTAGCCTCCTACGCATTCTTAGTTGCTCAGCTCACCGGCGTCGGTCTTTCGTCCGTTCAGGCATTCACTGGTTTACACTTCTCTCTCTTTCTCTCTCTCTCTCTCTTGTGTCTCTCAACTCTCAAAGCCTGAAACTGAAAAATGAATAGATTTTATTATTTTATTTTTGATTTATGTTAAAGACTTAAACTTTGCTTCAACTCTCATGTCCAGTTTTTTTTTCCTTTTGACCGAAGCTCATGCTCTGCCCTCTTCTCTAAATTTAATTTTTATTTATTAATTTAATATATTAGATTGCAATGTTCATGTGCAGAATTTATATTTAATGCATGCTTGCTTTCTATTTTTATGTTACATGTTATTTTGCTTAAATCTCAATCTGCATTTCAATGCTTTTAGTCATATTTAATTTTAGTTTATCTCAATTTTTTTTAATTAGCTATGGCTACAGCAAATAGTTCTGGGGGAAGTATTAATTCAGCAGCCCGTTTTTCTTCTATAAATGAGCTACAAAAAGATGAAACTCCCTTATGGTGCTATGTCACTTTGGTGAATAAAAATAGAGACATACCAGGAGGTGGAAATAGATATTGGAGGTGCAATTATTGTAACAAAGAATTCAATGGCTCTTATTCTAGAGTTAAGTGGCACTTGTTAAAAACTTCTGGCAAGGGAATTGCTATATGCTCGAAAGTTGATGAGTATTGCCTAGCTGAGATGAGAAAATTACAAGAAGATGCTGATGAGAAGATCAAGTCAAAGCAAGTGCCATTACCACCCCCGGCTGAAGGTTCATCTCCCTTATATCCTATGACAAGTGAAAGCAACCAAAGCAAGAGAAGGGCAGTAAGTCCATTAGAAAAGGCCTTCCAACAAGGGGCAAGAGAAAATCTACATGCTGAAATTGCAAGAATGTTTTATACAGGTGGTCTATCTTTTCATTTGTCACGCAATCCATATTTCATTAGTTCATATCAATATGCTGCGAACAACATCATTCCTGGATACAAACCTCCTGGTTATAATGCATTAAGGGGTCCATTGTTGCAAAGAGAAAGAGCTCACACAGAGAAGTTACTTAAACCAATTAAAGGAACTTGGAGTTTGAAAGGAGTGAGCATAGTCACAGATGGTTGGACAGACGCTCAAAGGAGGCCTCTGATTAATTTTATGGCTGTGTCTGATGGGGATCCCATGTTTTTGAAGGCAGTTGATGGATCCAAAGAATATAAAGACAGACATTATATGGCTGACTTGATGCGTCAAGTGATTGAAGAGGTCAAGCCTCAAAATGTGGTTCAAATAATCACTGACAATGCATCTGTTTGCAAATCAGCAAGTAGGCTTATAGAGGCTGAGTATCCCACTATTTTCTGGACGCCATGTGTTGTGCATACGCTTAATCTTGCATTAAAGAATATATGTGCAGCAAAAAACACAGAGGCAAATGAGATTGTGTATGATGAATGCCATTGGATAGAGGAGGTTAAGGATGATGCTGCTTTTATTAGAACATTTATCATGTGTCATTCTATGCGATTGGCAATTTTTAATGAATTTATGCCATTAAAATTACTTGCCATAGCTAACACTCGCTTTGCATCCACCATTGTTATGCTCAAAAGACTCAAGCTCATTAAAACTTCACTTCGTACAATGGTGATAAGTGAAGCATGGAATGCTTATAAGGAAGATGATGTTGGAAAGGCAGCCACAGTGAAAAACTTGATCCTTAATGACTCTTGGTGGGATAAGGTGGATTATATACTTTCTTTCACTGGACCGATTTATGACATGCTTCGGATGGCTGACACAAATAAGCTTATACTTCATTTAATTTATGAAATGTGGGATTCAATGATAGAACAAGTGAAGGAGTCCATCTACAAGCATGAGAATAAGGAGCTTTCTGAGTATTCAGCTTTCTTTGATGTTGTTTATAGGATCATTATTGATCGATGGACAAAAAGTTGCACTCCCCTTCATTGTCTTGCACATTCATTGAATCCTAGGTTAGTTATATTACTATTGCAATATTTTTCATTCATAAATTATTTAGTTTTGTTCTTAATCCTTTTTGTTTGCAAATGTTATAGGTATTATACACCCCAATGGCTTGAAGGTGCTCCCAATAGAATTCCGCCTCATTTAGATAATGAAATATCATCTGAGAGAGTAAAGTGCCTTTATAGGTACTTTACTGATCCTGAGGAGAGAAAGGCGGTCTTTCAAGAGTTCCCAAAATTTGTTGGAAGTTTAGACTTCTATTCATCATTTGATTGCTTGCAAGATAGGTGGAATTTAGAACCTAAAGGGTGGTGGTTAAATTATGGTTCTTTCACTCCTATTCTTCAGAGGCTTGCATTGAAACTTCTAGGCGAACCGTGCTCTTCCTCTTGTTGTGAAAGAAATTGGAGCACTTACTCCTTTATCCACTCATTGAAGAGAAACAAGATCACTCCTAAAAGAGCTGAAGACTTAGTTTTCGTGCATACTAATCTTCGTCTCTTGTCAAGGAAGAGTGAAAAGTATCGCAATGGGCAAAGTAGAATGTGGGATATTGGTGGAGACACTATGGAGCCATTTGATGCTGTCAATAGCCTTGAGATGGCAAGCTTGTCACTTGATGAACCCATTTTAGAGCAAGAAATTATAGGAGAGCCTAGTAATGTAATGGAAAATGAGGATGATGAAATGTGATGCATTTGATAGTATTTTATATTTTTTTGGATTGCTATGCATTTTGATTGTTGACATATTATTTACATTTATATAAAAAAATATTATATATTGCCGTACCCGTATCCTAAAATTTTAAAAATTTGCCGTATCCCCGTATCATGCCGTATCGTATCCGATACTCGTACCCGTATCTGTGCAACCTAGAGTCACCGTGGATGACTTTGTTTTCTCTGGCTTACATGTTCCCGCCAACAGCACAAACTTGTTCAAGTTTGGATTCAAACCTGTGTTCGATGCTCAGCTTCCTGGCCTCAACAGTCTTGGATTCTCCATCGCTCGTGCAGACTTTGAGAAAGGTTCAGTTGTGCCGGTGCATTCACATCCTGGAGTTTCAGAAATCACTTTTCTTTTGGAAGGAAAAGTAAACTTCGGGTTCATTTCATCAGACAACACAGTGTGTCAGAAATCTCTCGTGAAAGGAGATGTTTTCGTTGTTCCTCCTGGTTTACTGCACTTTGCCTTCAATGAAGGTACGTACGTAACATAACACTGATGAGTTTTTTTAGTGTTCATGATCATCATCATCTTCGTTGTTATTCATTAATTAATGCTATTAATTTATTCGTTTCAGGGGACACTTCAGGAACAGCAATTGTAGGGTTCAGTAGTTCAAGCCCTCCGGTTCAAGTTTTGGACCTCGCACTGTTCCAAAGTAAGTTGGCAACTCAAGTGGTAGCATCGACCACTTTGATTGATGCTAATGAAGTGAAGAGACTTAAGGGTGTTTTTGGAGGCTCGGGATGATAAAATGTGAGAAAATTATCGTTTTCAATAATTTGTCTTATCGTTGTAATAGTTACCTCAAAGCATATTTGGCAATGCAATTAATATAATGGAGAAAAAACGATTCGAGTATAAAAGAACATTTCTTTGATTGCGTACAAGATAATTGATTTATTTTAATTTCATAAGAGTAGATTTAATTAAAGGAGAATACCTTAAAAGAAAAATGAAATCAAAAGTGCATGAGACGTGGTAAAAGATAGATCAGTCTTAAGTCTTATCGACAAAAAATTTTTAATTTCATTAAAAATCTTAACAAAAATAAAAAAAAAGTTGAGTAAATCGAATATACTGACTTCATTTCAATATTATTGTTGAAATTATAGCAATATAATCTTCCATTTTTAAAATCTGTACATACCTTAGTCCATCAATTTCTCATTTTATTATGATATTCCATTAAAGAGGAAAGATACTTTTTATTAATTTAAATTCATATAAAATAATTTCAAATAATTAATTTGCCCTTAAACTTAAAATTTCTCATTCTAACCATGTTTCCCTTAAACCTCTAGACGACGCTGAAACCTCATTGAGTTCTTCTGTCTAAACTACAAGGCCACTTTCTGGTTCTCATTAATAAATTCTGGGAAAACTCCGGAAGTGTGTTTTTGGTCACGGGAATAATTTATTTATAGTTTACTAATTTCATCTGATGTGATGTAATTTCAAATTTATAATTTTATTATTATATAGCGTATATAACTGAAATAACGAAACATGACATCAAGCTCTTTCCTTCTCTCTAGCAGTCATTTAAACAAACCTTTTTACGTCAATTAATAAAAAATTGACTTTAACCAACAACAAAAGTTAGTTTAGTCTTTGAATCAAATCCCATTAATTATTAATGTGAAGACCCTATTGATTGATGATTTGATATGTAGATTGATTGTATAAGTATTATAAGGGCTCTTGACATGCTTTGGCCTTGATGACGGTGATGAGTCCTCAAAATCTAACTCATTTAAATTTTTATTTATATAAAAAAAAGAAAATTGACTGAAATAAACAAGCTTTGGTCAACATGCCAATAATGGCTTCCTGCTAATTAATTGGACGACAGTGCCTACTCAATCTCCCGCGCCCATCATCCTTCGGAGTTCCGCAGGAATGAGTCCCTTTCACTAATTAATGCATTCACACAAAGTCTCATCGGACCTTGCGATCTGCAATTCCCTGCTTATGAACTCTGGAATTCAGGCTCTACATCTCGAGGGCCAACTATATACTATACATACGTTCGTGTGTCCCAGGAAGCGCATCCTTTCACGTAAGTCTGTATCAAAGGTGTGTTTATCGGCTTTATATTAAAGGTTAAAAGATAACCATTAATCTGCATGAAATTTTGCAAAATATGATAAATCATAAGATGATTATAGTCATTATTAATTAATTTGATATGATATATAATTGGTTGGTCATAACCATGTATTTCTATTAGATTAAGATATGTAACCAAAGTTAATTTATCTTTTAATATTTTTGGTATAATGAATATATATATATATATATATATCACACTAACATGAAGTGACTCCAGCCAAGCTTGCAGCTTAATTATGGTTATGGATAAACCTCATGCATATGCTATAATTTTATGATAATTGAAAAAATGAACATATATAGACCGTATTTCTATGAATCTATAACACAGCTTGCTAAGTAATTTTATGTCGTCATCATTTGGCCAAGTAGGAAAATGCATTAGGTTGACGATAGACATCATGTGACTGTACGTTGATAGTTTGATGTGATCTTCATGATAATATGATGAGAACATAGTCAAAGGTTTCAGGATAAACATAATCTACAAGAAGCAAAATCAGCTGCTGAAAATGGATCATAAGATGATTATAGTCATCATTAATTAGATAGAGTTAATTGGTCAAAGTCATGTATATGGGATCATACTTGTCTTCTGCAGGTTCATGTCCTCTGGCCTCTCCAACGTAAAGTAGCCTGTGTCAGCACAAAATATTATACTCTACGTTGGTCTAGAGAAACTATAGGTCTTGCATTGTCAACTGGAGACAAACGAGATCCTTGTATATGTTAATTAAACATAGATATCTACAGATATAAACAAAGTCAACGCATTCTTTGATATTCTTTATATATGAGTATAATATATTCTCCTTTTTTTTTTAGAAAAAGATCAACTGAATATAATATATATTCTCGGTGGTTATATAGATGAATAGCATTTCACTTAACGAAATAAATTAAATTGGATTCATGAATGTGAGAAAATAGTAAAACATTATCTCTGTGATAAGTTGAGCCATGCATCAAGGGTATAAATAGGTTTATATATGCCACTATCTCATTTTGTAGCTTAATACTAAGGAAGAGAAGGTTAAGGTATAATCTCAATTTTCTCCTCCTTCATAATTTATAGAAAATCAAGATCTAGTGCTGTAGCTTGAAATATATGTTCTACCTTTTTCTTTTTTGTTTTTTTTTTTTTGGTGTAGAAACTCTCATCCGATCCATCTTGACCAATGGTTGAGGGTCCACTGCTCTTGTATATATAAATTAAACCTAATTGGTAGTAGTCTACCCTTTATATCCTCTGAATCTCAAAGGTAAAAAGAAAAGCTTTAATGAATGTTACGGTTTTCTTATTTATTTTGCATCTTTATTTTATCATTTTCTCAAAGATGTAAATACAAAATATCATTGTCAACGCCTAGCTATATCAATGGCAGCATCACTTTCCTTGTTTGGAGGAAGATCTTAGATTTAACGTTGACATGTTTGTGTGCTTATATGAGTATATAAGTCTCCATGTTCTATGAGGAAGGATTAGGTTTAAGTATATAATTTAAAAAAAACACACAAAATATTATTCTGTAACTTTTACGAATACAAGACCGCACCCTAATTTTTTTTTTTTTTTGTTGCCTTGTTTAGGGTTTTTGGACAGAATGATGAGACTTGTTCAAATCGCTATAGCCCTGTGCACATTAGCAGCGGGAATAGACGCAGCCGCTCCTATAGGTGTCAACTACGGAAGACTAGGAGACAACCTTCCCCCTCCGGCCGAGGTGGTGAAAATGTTCCAGCAAAACGGCATCACCAAGATGAGGCTATTCGACCCTGACGTTAATGTCCTTAACGCCCTCAGAAAGACCAACATTGGTCTCGCTCTAGGCATACGAAACCAGGATTTGCAGCTCCTGTCCACCAACATGGACGCCGTCAACGGCTGGTTCGCCGCCAATGTCGAACCGTTCCTCAACGACGTCGCTTTCGAATACATCGTCGTCGGAAACGAGTTGGTTCCAGGGGAACTGGCCAACTTCATCCTTCCGGTGATGCAGAACTTTCAAGTCGTACTCGATGGTCGGAACTTGAGCAGCATCTCTATGACAACCTGTGTGGCTACGTCCGTCTTCGCAAATTCATATCCTCCTTCAGCATCTGTATTCGCAGACAATTCGAGAGAGGTCATGACAAGGATTCTAGGGTTCCTCGCAGCTCAACAAAATCCTCTTTTGATCAATCTCTATCCCTACTTTGCATATGCGTCTGATCCTGTGAATATACGCTTGGACTATGCTCAGTTCACAGCACCAGGCGTGGTGGTTCAGGACGGAGCTTTAGGATATACGAACATGCTTGATGCCATGATCGATGCGTTCTTCTGGGCGATGGAGAAAGTGGGAGTGAATAACGTTGGCGTGGTGGTGTCTGAGAGTGGATGGCCTTCTGGTGGAAATGGCGAGATCACGAATCCGACAATGGCTGCTACTTACAATAAGAACTTCGCTAAGCGGATCACAACACAGAATGGAACGCCAAAGAAACCAGACGCTGTGATTCCAGGTTTCATTTTTGCAATGTTCAATGAGAATCAAAAGCCTGCTGGCGTGGAGCAAAACTTTGGACTCTTCATTCCTACATCCAGGCAACCTGTTTATCCGGTTTTTCCTCTTTAAAGTGAAATTCTTGAAAATTTAAAAATGTAAATTTAAAAATGCTTGAAGCATATGATGCTTACAAGTGAAATTCATCAATAAAATATAAGTATCTAATTACTAAAAAAAATATAAGTATATTAAGTTGATTAATTTATACTTTTACATTTAAATATATTATTATAACGTTAAAAACATTATATTATAATTTTAGGAAATAAAAAATTAATATTATGATTTTGTGAAACATTAAATATATTATTATAACTTTAAAATTATTATATTATAATTTATTCACCAAAAAAAGTTATTGTAATTTTACATGGACCATTGATAAGGTCATAAGAATTTATTTTTTTTCAAGTTTTTAAAAGAAATTATTATTTTAATTATGGATTTAATAAATTGATTTTAATACTTCTAATTTCAACTGTGAGTTTTCAATTATTAATTTTAGGGTTAATGTGGAATTTGGATGGTTTAAGGGCGATTTGAACCATATACTCATAATTAATACTCCCTCCATTTAAAAATATAAGGCATTTTTTGAGAAGTTGGATGTTCAAATGTGTAAGGCATTTTTAATTTTTCGAGATATAATCATTATTTTTTTTCTAAAAGTGCACCTATTGATAGTGACTTTATATTTATTATAGGGTGTTTAATAGGTGTAAATATAGAAAAATAAAGTTAATTTGAAAATAGGTAACTACTTTACTGAGGATAAGATTCGGTTAAAAATACCTTACATTTTTGAACGGAGAGAATATATTTTAAACCCTGAACAATTAAAGTTAAAACAATCTTATCCCTACCATTAACTCGTAACTAGTTGCCATTATTTTAAGTATTGTAGGATACAAAATTTTTTTCTTTCTTTACCTCCTAAGCTCACTCCTCCCTCCCCTCTCTTCTCTTCTCCCTCCTTCCCTCTTAGACTTCGATGCTATGTCCACCATGGCTGAAGAGACTTAAAACTCTCTCCTCTCTCCTCCTTTCATTGGACTCATAAGCTCCATGGTGATAACCATCAAAGCTTACTGCTTGCTAGTCTAACCTTCTACCTCATGCAACCTTTTTGTGAAATTGATGCCAATGCATTGTTCTCCTCTTCCTCCCCCCTCTTTCCCAATCTCTCTCTCCTTATGTGGCAATATTAGATCCCTGTCCACTAGAAAAACCTTCACCAAAGCCTCTACCTGACGTTATATAACAGGGACGTCATAACCTATACTACTTGAGATGATCGATGAGCTTCATAACTTCATTGAAATTTCATGGTTCCCCAACTGCATCACTCCTTATTCCTATGTTGGTTCTGCAACCTTTCTCTATAACTTATACTCACCTCCCCATCCTCTAATTAAGTTCATCTCTTTCAAGTTCACCTTTAGAACCTCAAGCCCATCCATCTTCTTCTCTTCTTCAAAGATGTCACACATGTTTAGTAGAAAAGATAGTCAAAAAGGTAGCCAGCTTCTTCTTTGAACATGTCACAAATCCTTCTTCTTTTCTTCGAATAGTTCAAGCCCTTCCATCCACTTGAGGATTGCATGGTTAGAAAGGCAACAACAAAGGCCTCAACAGAGGTTGCTCTAGTGCAGAAGAATCTAGCATAGTCACATAAGGTGTTGTGCATGGATTTGATGATAAAGAATTGAGGGAAGAGAGAGATAAGGGGGAGAAAAGAGGGAGATAAATATGCCACCTAAAGGGGAGAGGGCCAAAGATAGAGGTAAAGAGGTAGAATTCATTAGCCCATAAAATCAATGTTTATTTCAAATTAACAGCAGAGACTAGATTGCTCAAACTTTAATTGTTTAAAATTTAAAATGTACTAATTATGATTATATGATTCAAATCATCCTTGGATTATAGTTCAAAGTTTAAATTGCATATTAATCCAATGTTATCACATTTAGATATTAAGTGCCATTTTTAAAATGTTTATTGTAAAATTCTTATCTTTTTTTTTTTTACCAAATTGTGAAATTCATATCTACTAAGAAATTACATAAATATTCTATCAAAAAAATAAATTACATAAATATATATAGAATTCTCATCACTTAAACAAGTAATTGGAAATTCGAACTCATATATGTAACAACTTTAGTTTAACCAAAAGATAGACAAATATAGTTTTTGCTTTTCATCATTAGCAGAGTCATCAAGGTAATCTAGGATAATTTTAATTTTTTTTAAAAAAATAATAATTAGCAATCATTATTATCATGTAAAGCTAAATTTACACACACACATTACAATTATAAAAATGTTTTCTAACAAAAAAAATTATGCAAGTGTGTTTAATCCACATGCAAGCACATATGCATGTGATAGAATCAACCATATACCTTACAATTGTACCTTTATTTTAATAGGTTTGGTTTATCAAAATATAGGAAAATAATTGTGAGATATCTTTTAATTTATGGGAGTTTGGCATGTACGTGGAGTTTATCAGATTCAAGTATTGTTTTTGATCTAAATATGATCTAATTCAAGTTTAAATATCAAATATGCCAATAAAAAACTTCAACCAAATTATATTTAATTAGGTCGTATATATGGGTTCCAAGTCTTGAAACTTAATAGTGAGGGATAATGTCAAAACTCGTAGATGTGATTTTCATGGAAATAAGCAAGTGAGGATTCCAAATGTTCAGCCTTTGAATGACATTATTATGTCATCTATAACGATCATCTCATATGCCTAATTTATGAGCCTTTGTTGTTGCATAACATCTATATAAACCTCAGAGGGTTCACATTTACAGCACAGGATCACAACTAATACAGACTATGGTTACCATAGCTTCTTAAGTTTCATGTAGTAAATAGCCATAAGTAAAAACTCATAACTATATATAAGGGAGTTTATCACATGACCAAGGGCAAAAATTCATGACCATGTTACCTTATCAAAGTGCTCTTTTAGATCTCAAACAAGGTGATTGAGCATTCTGGTAATTTCCATTTGTAGGTTCCTTCAAAACAACATTTAGTAACCATGACACAATATTACAACATTACACTATTCCCATTAATTTTGGTATGAGGGATCTAGATATTCTTTTGTGCAAGATATGTCCACAAACTCTAATTTATGTTTTCCAATAAGTGCAATCCTTATCACATGGCTTCAAATAATGTAGTTCTTTCTGCTAGTGACGACATGAGAAATCAAGCCAAGTTTGTGGCTTGCATATCAAAAGGGATGAGGAAGAGAGGGTGTGGGAAATCCAAAATTTATGTTGATAAGGTTCTTTGCGTCTCATCTATCATTAATAGACTTGAAAACAATGGTTGTAATAATAAACTAATATAAGTTTAAAAGTAGGAAATTATTGGCTAATCTTCTTATAGTGACTAACTTTTTATTATGGTTTGCGTGAGATCCTTGTTGAGTAAAAGACTCAAATGTTTGTATCCCTATATGTTTAGATGTTGTCCCCAATAAGTTCAAGGGATTTCAATGTGAAGAAATTATCATGGTGAATCAGGAACAAATTCAAATTACCCCAATCTCTAATTAGTTCAATTTTTTGTTAGATTCCGGCAAAAACTTCCCTTGTACTTTTCTTCATAATATTTTATTGTTTTAAGTATAAATTCATGGTTACCTTCATTGTAGATTAAAAGTAATCCAAGCTTCAATGTAAAGGTGGGAGTAGGTGTCATGGCCGTGACTTTGAATGGCATAGTAAAAGACAATGCAAAGGAAAAACCTGAATCTAATACCATGTAAACTTCTAGGTCCCAAATCAATATGAGTGAAATAATATTGATGTTTACAAGATTCACATACATTTAGGCTATTCCCTCATATATAGTTATAGGCATGTTTAGCATATCCTTATATGATATAGTTTTGATTATACTAATATTACGATGCTACTTTATTTATATCTACATTTTAGTACAAGAAATATAGGAGATATAGCTTATCATTAGGAGAAATTTTTATATGAACCCAGTACACTACGTTATCATGGTCTATCTAATAAATTGCACTAATTCGATCAAATAAAATCTTATGTATCATTATTTTTTTATGAATCTATTTTTATAATAGAATACTTATTTACTTTCTCGCCTTTTCTCTCTCTACTATCATTAATATTAGAATTAATTTATATTTAACGCCATCGAAATGTCATATTTTTATTTGCTGGACCATGGATGATGTGGTGCACTAAGTCTATCAAAAAATTTCTCTATCAATTGTAACAATTGAAATTTTAAATTGGTTTTTCTTGAAAATATAATTCAGCAATCAAACTTTAACCATTAAACACATACCATGGTAGAAAAGTGTCTACCATGATGATAAAGAGTAAAACTTATTTTTTTTTCAAACAATACCATGATATTAATAGGTTTACCATGATACAAAAAAGCAAGAGTTATTATTTCAAAACTCTATCATGGTAGAAAAGAGTCTACCATAGTAATTAAGAGTTAAAATCTTTTTGATAGAAGCTTACCATGAGAGAAAGAACTTTTCTTATAATTAAAGCATTTCTCAAATTAGACTACCATGATAGAAAAGATTAAACATAGTAAATATACCTACCATGGTAATTTAAGAAGTAAATAAATTAAACAAATAATACCAAATGGAAAACTAAGTTAAATAAGTTGTACCTAATGGGATCTCATTGAAAACAAGTATTTAAAATCTAATGAAATGTTAAAAAGGGGTAATTAAAAGTGAAGCATAGTTTCCAAGGTGCTAAATTATTCAAAAATAAATTAAAAAAGGGTAAAAGTGTTAAAAGGACTATTTCAAAAAATATATAGAATGAACGAGGGTATTTTTGTCTAAGGAGCAACACATGTTGTGGTATGTGTCTCATGTGTGATATTCTCCCCTCTGTGCCATGCACCGTGGCCAATGACACTTGCACTTTGGTACATGACATAGAGAGGATATTCTCCCCTCTATACTGTGTGCCATGGCCAACAATACATGCACTATAGCACAAAATGCCTAACAATTGTAATGACAACATGTATAGTAAT